GTGGTTGATGGGGGGGGGGGGGTTGCGGCGGCCGGAGGTCAAGTGAAGCAGAAAGGAAAAAAATCTCTGATAATGAATTTGATCTAAACGTTTAAAGGAAAAAAAAGATTAATAACAGGAAGGAATCAAGAATAATCTCTCTTTCTCTTTTACTGACAGAAGCAGAACTATGAGGGTCTCAACGCGGTGGTTGAAATATAACTGAAAGGGGACGCTTGGCGCCAAGGTCCTTACACGAGGCAGGGAAGGGGCCTTATTCTAATTTGTTTTTTGCTACCACAGAAAAAATCTAGAACTTTCCGATGAGGCTCCGTGCAGGTGCGGATCACCCAGGGTGTGATTCACAGAGGCCACAAAGAAGAACTTGGTTTGTTTCCTGAGCAAGACCGTGTGGGGCAGGATGTGGAGCATCCGCGACACTTCCCAGGAGACACTGGGTTGTTCCCAAGAATGGGACTGCTCTCACCTCCAAGTAGCTCTCCGAGTCCAAGGCGTAGGCCTCTCCTTCCTCCGGCTTCTGCTCAACTAAAGACTGGCCTTCAATCTGAAAGAGACAGACAGACAGATGGGTCTTCCCTCTCCCACCAGCAGAACTTCTCAACGAGTTAGAAGCACCTACGGGAATCCCTGGTATGGGAAAATGGGGGGTTCACTGAGACCTTAGCATCCCTCAGTCGACAGAGGTAGAAAAGAGCAGGGGATTCCGACCACCGGGGGGGCTGTTAAGTTTCCCCACGGCGTCCTCTCCCATCTACCCACGATGCCTGCTCGGTGGTTCTCTTCTTAACCTCCTAAGCTATGCAATGCCCAGCTGAAGAAGAATACTGCAAGACTGCACAAATTCTCTCTCTGTGAAGCTTTAGTGAAACCCGTTAATAAACTTTAGGTTACATTCTTTAAAATATCGGAGTTTAAAACCAAGTGAGGGCCGACAGTACAAAACAGCAGCTCTCAAATTCAGAGTCTTAACCCACCCAACTCTGGACACAGCCTGGAAACGGCTACAAATTGTACCCAGATTTGATTTTTAACTATGGCTCGGGGTGGTGGGCAAGGTCTCGTGCTGCCTCAAGGAGCAGAACCTCATTTTTTTTTCTTTTAAAGGGGGTGGTGATGGGGAAATCAAGTCTAGAGGCTCGCGAATATCTTTAGGAGCGGCGCATTAGCGGCCGGCCCCCATTCTGACCCACGCCTGCTCTATGGAGCCTGTGCGCCGGACACGCGCTGGGCGACCAGGCCTACTGCAGTCACCTTTGGAGGATAGTGGAAGTTGAGGGACTGGTAGAGACGAAAGTTGACGAAGCCGAGGAGGGTGGTGTAGAACTCAGTGAAGGTGGCCATCACTCTGTAATCCACGTCGGTTGGATGCTGGGAAAAGACAAGAGAAGGCCATTAATCAGCTCCTCCCCACACATACAAAATACTTTTTTTTTTTAAAAAAAAGTATTTCCAACTCATCCTTCGAGAAAAAATGCTCAACCCCAGCTTTAGCTTTTTGCAGCGTACGATAATGTCAATGTCTGCATGCATAATATCTCCGCTCCAGGACAATCCAGCAGAGAATCCTAGTTACTAAGGGGAAACAGCAGAAGAAGGTGATTGCTCTCATATCCCCCTTTCGTGGGGTTCCCCCACTGGGGAATCCCACTTCTGTCCAGTTTTGGGTCTGATCCAGAGAAGCTTTCCGTACTGATCAGCTTCCAAGGCATCTGAAATGCCAGAAATACACATCAGACAAACAGAAGGAGACAAGGCTAAAGTATCAATTTTAATACATGAATAATTGAAAAACATGAATCCTCTGGAAAACACAACCTTATAACCTGAAGGTTTGGTCTATAAGCAGCCCCTTTCTCCTCAGATGTTCACACCTTGGCAATTCAAAATTCCATCTCTACAAGAAGCTGAATTCTGAAACCCATAGATTTTTACAAATGGAGTTAAATTATGCAGAATATTTGTACAATTCTGCCTAATGGGTTCGGGTTACACAGTCCTAGATGGTTTTGTACAATTCTGCCTAATGGGTTCGGGTTCCACAGTCCTAGATGGCTGAATAGCCAGCCTGGGTGGCCCTGGGTCAGCTGCAGAGTCCCACAGCGCCCCTTAGAGGAAGGGAAGGGAAAAGCTGCCTGGGTGGCCTTGGGCCAGCTGCAGGGTCCCACAGTGCCCTTTAGAGGAAGGAAAGGGAAAAGCTCTTCTGAGTCTTCTCTACCTGGAAAACCCTGAACCAGGTTGCCCTAAGTCAGAATTCACCTGACAGCACATCATCATCATTAAACAGTCCTAGGGGTTGGCCATGGGCTGTATAGGGCTTTGCTGTACCATCTCAATCAATTAAACAAACAAAATTCCTTTTTTTCCTTTTGATTGCCGGGACTTTAAGAAGCCATTTCTATAGATATGTTCCTGCGTCATCTCTGCAGGGTTGCCTAGGGGTCAAGAGACCTGGGTTCAAATACCCTTACAAAACTCACTAGGTGGCCATGGACTAGCCATGCTCTCCATGGTCTCAGCAACCTCACAGGGGTAGCGTTGAGGACAGACCCTCCTGTAACACTGCTTGGAGCAGAAACAACATCCCTCGTCCAGGGATCCTTCCTGCCTCTTCGAGCAAGCATTTGCAAATATTGGGTAGAGATATGGGTACAACGAGGAGGGGCTTTCAAGCGTGGCCCAACTGAAAAAAGGAGGCCGCTGGGTTACACAGGAAAACAGGCCGAAGATCTGCCCATTTCTCAGTAACAGGCCGCACACGCTGGGCTTTTTAAGCACAGGAGCTGCATACCTGAGGTTAATTGTTAGTTTAAAATCTTCCACTTGGATGATGAAGAAGTTAATGATTTTTCAGCCCAAGAGGACCTTGGCACGTACACCCTGGCACGAAGGACAAGGGGTCAGCATGAACAAGAACACAATGGACGCCAAGTCGGGTTGCCTTAACCTCACGGACGGTAAATCAGGGAAGAGAGGATGATGGGCCACGGCTGTGGCATCAACAAACAAACCTTCTGGAAGCAGGTGGTGGCAGCACTAGCAGCGCTGGGCAAAGGAGCTTCCCTAACGTACAGCCCGTTGACAAAGGAAGCCAGAAGCACCCGAAGGAGGAAGAGCATGAAAGGATGATGTCGGGGTTCATCCAAAAGTAGATCGTATGATTGCATCACCCGAAAAAAGGGCTAGGAAAGGCAAGTGCCTTCAGATGGGGCTGGACTGAAACTCCCAGAAGTCCTTACGGGCACAAACAGTGCTAAAGGATGATGGTGAACTCAAATGAGTGGCTACAGGAGGGTTGTGCATTCCACAGCCGTGGTACAGGACCCTATTCGCTCCAGAATTCTTTGGATGGCTACTCCCAAAATTGTACAACCAACATGTGTTGCAGAGTTTTGAATTTTGGGGAACTCCCGTGAGCTGCTCAGGAGAAGTACAGGGAGTCATAGAAAAGAATTAACTTCAAGTCCCGCAGTTTAGTCCACCCCTTTTTTACTCATCCACTGGCGTGGAATGTCAGATGACAGAACGCGGGAACGATATTTTCCCCACACCCGAAGGAGGAAGAGCATGAAAGGATGATGCCGGGGTTCAAGTCCCGCAGTTTAGTTCACCCCTTTTTTACTCATCCACTGGCACTTACAGTCTCAGTAACTTGCTCTGAGACATTGTTAGGAGACACAACAAAAGGTTTCATTTACTTGCAGCCAACAGATAACTAGCAAGCTTAAAAACATGACTGTTTTTGAGTGACACGCTTCAGCAGGCTCTTTGACTCCAACAGAATCAGAGAGGTTAAAAAAGACTCAAAAGGAGAGAGGCTGTATTTGCATTCAAAGGCAGGCCAGGAACGATTGGTTTGTGCTGGATAGATTGACACCCCAAGCCAGAAAGGTCCCACCTCCTTATAAAGGCAGCATGCGAGGTTGCAAAAACCTGCCAGAATGATCGTGGGCTTCGCCAACCTCTTTCCACTGGAGAACCCGTGTGGGGCCGAACTAGGACCCCAGAGACGTGGGATCCAGGCCCTTTCTCAGCCATGGTCATGGGGTGACCTTGGGACAGTCCCACTATCCCAGCCTCATTTATTTATTTATTATTTTATTTATTTTATTTCTATCCCGCCTATCTGGTCATACTAGACCACTCTAGGCGGCTTACAACAAACAACAACAACATAATTTTAAAACATTACAATTTAAGAAAGATAGAGCTGTTGTGACAGCAAAGTGAGTGACAGAAGGCCAGGAACCTCATCTTAAATTCATAGCAGGAAATGCAAAATAGAAATCAATGGATAACTGCCAGAATGATCGTGGGCTTCGCCAACCTCTTTCCACTGGAGAACCCGTGTGGGGCCGAACTAGGACCCCAGAGACGTGGGATCCAGGCCCTTTCTCAGCCATGGTCATGGGGTGACCTTGGGACAGTCCCACTATCCCAGCCTCATCTCCCTCACAGGGCTGTTGTGACAGCAAAGTGAGCGACAGAAGGCCAGGAACCACATCTTAAATTCATGGCAGGAAATGCAAAATAGAAATGAAACCAATAATATCAACTAGAGTGTTTTGCAAGTGTTCTTAAAGAAAAGAAGAAAAAACCCACAATGAAATCCAGAAAATCCTCAAAACAATCTCAATAGTCAAGAAAAGCTGGGCAGGGTTGGGATACAAAGAACTAGAGAAGATAATATCATTTTCCCGAAAATAAGCCCTAATCTGAAAAGAAGCCCTGGTATGATTTTTCAGGATGCTCGTAATACCCTGTCTTATTTTCGGGGAAACACGGTATAAAACAGCAAAACCCTGACAAAGGGATGGGTGGCGGGCACTATAAAGGACCTGTGGGTGCTGCAACATTTTGTAGCAGTAGGCAGGCATAATTTGACACATGTTTGTGATGATGCTAATGCCCTTCCAGATGCACACCATTACTGGGCACTTGTGTCCATACTGATTCAGTCTTGCAAAGGAGAAAGCTGGAAACAACAGTTTTCAAGGGGTAACTTTTTAAAATACATGTCACACACACACAGAGGCACACAAACACATTAATGCCGGGCAAAAGGTGACAATTACAAGCAGTGCTGCACCGAAAACTTGATAGTGAATGAATTTGACAGCTTTACTTTTCAGGGCAAGACACCACACATTTAAAAAATGACACAGATTAAAACTTAATGCCATTACGGTACAGCGGCTGGCACTCACATTGTGGGAAAAGGCGTACGGGGTTATCCAAGTGACCGCCTGCCCCATCACCTCCGCCTGATAGTAGATTCCTTTAATGGACAGAAACACCTGGCAAAAAATAAAATAAAGAAAAATGTTCAGCCAGAAAAGCTGCCCACCAAGGGCAGGGCAGAAGAAGCCCTGGAGGCTTTCCTTCCAACATGATCGGACCAATGCAGGTTTCATCTGTGCGAAATCAACCATCACCCCCCCCCCCTTCCCCTTAACGCTTGGCTCTTCCCAAGCCTCACCTTGCGCAAAGAACGGGAGGCAATGACGTAGTTGAGGAACTCCACCGTGAGCCGGCGGCAGAGCTGGATCGTCTGGACGTGGCACTTGCCGGTGCGTGGGAAGGTGGCGAAGAGGAAGCACATGGACAGCGCGTCGTCCAGATCGCGCACGGCATCGATAAACGTCGGGTACCTGCGCCCGGGGGGGGGAATGTGAAACGAGAGAAAAGGAAGAACCCACCATGATTTCCAATTGATCCACCATGATTTCCATTGATCGGTGGCAGGAGTGATGTGGTCCTGTTAGGAACTTTTAAAAGGAGTTTGAGAAAGCTTCCAGACCCTCTCTGGACCTACTCGAAACATTTCTGGGACACCAACATAACTGCCTTGTAAATCTCTTCCGTGGCGCCTCTCTCTCTCTCTCCTTACCTTTCCTTAACGATGTGGTCCAATTTATAACCCGGCTTGTTGTCTTTCAGTCGTTCCACAGTGTTCCACTCGCTTTTCCCGTACGCTTTGCGCAGCTTGCGGACAAACACCTGGCGGAGAAAAAAAGACATCAGGCCAGCTGCCACCCAGCCTCTTGCTTCCCGAGTCTTCCACAAGGGCCCTTGGTCTGCAACGACAAGAGAGCAGCACCTGGTGGCCTTCAGCTCATCTCGGCTCCTCAACCAGAGACACTAACATTTGTGCGCTGGTCTAATCAAATGGGTAATCAAGTCAAGTGAACGTATTAATATGAGCTGATGTGAAAAGATCTCATACTTGAAGCAGGATCAGTAACTGCATTCGGAATCAAGTTAATAAAGCAGGGAAACAAAACATGAAGATAAAGTTCTCAAAACGACTCCATGCAGGGAGATGAAGCCACTGCTGTCGAGGGACCACCGGTTTCCCCAACGTCACTGTACCTTATATTCTCGGAACTTGTTGACGATGGGTTCGTGGAGGAGGAATTTTATGTCTTTCAAGAGATAGAAAGTCCGGGCAGCCGTAGATCCTTTGTTTACTTTCTTCTTATGCTTGGGCTCGTGGGGGTAAATCCCCTTCAGGATGCACAGCCGCCTGGAAAAGTCAAACACAACTGTTGGAAACTCACCTGCCCACAAAGTAAGAGGAAGCAGAGAGCCATTCACTCCCAAACTACCTCAGCTTGGTAGCTGCAGCTAGAGGTCCGCAGCTAAAAAGGAGCCATGCCCATTTAAACCAGCACCAAGATCAAATCTACTGTACTTTATTAATGCCAGTGCTTTTTTCTTTTTTTGAGCCTGGACTCCCTTCTAAATCTGCTTCGCCTAATGATATAAAAATGGACTTTAAAGCCTCTTAATGTATTTTCTTCTCTCCTTATCTCACTCTTCTAGCCACATGGGAGCACTGGTAAAACGAATAGCAATAATCAAATATATTGCACACAAACCTGGCTACACCCCACTTTTCCAACGTTCTCTCTTTTCTGGCATGATCAAAAGCGGGGGGGGGAAGCAACTTGCAAGAAAAGAGAGTTTTGCCTGCAGCTGTTTCACTTTCTCCAGCATGTTAATGGTTTCCACACATTCCTAGAAAGAACAGCAAAGATCTGGGACACGACGGTAGTTGGAATAACAGCTCAGGTGTAGAATCCATGCCATGTTTTGCATGCAAACAGCCCTTGGCCCTTCCAGCAAATGGATAAATAGGCAAATCATGAGAAAGCCCTGGCTGTGCTTGAAATCCTGGAGCACGACCAGTAGTCAAAGCAGGAAATTTGAAGTGAAATGTAAACAGACACACCGCTCTGTTACTATAGGTGGCCTGGCATTAACATCAGCCTGGCCGCAGATGATTGAATGAAAGAATTTGCATCTGCATGTATAATACCCATAGTAGCCAGGAGATTCAGAAAACTGCAGTCCAAAAAAAGTGTAATTTTTCCAAGTTCTGTATTCCCTCTTCAGGCATCACTTTCATCTAACAAAACTTATGACGACAAAGCATGTTATTCTTTAAGGTAACATAAAATTGTTGCTTCTGCAGTAGTTTAGCTGTCTATCTATTCATTTCCTCGTTGCAACATCAGGCCAGTAAATGTTGCACTCTTTTTCGTACCTGAAGTCTGCAAGGCTCAGCTGAAGCTTCTTCCGGGCTTTGTTTCTGGTGATGTAGTTGGTGGCAGAACCCCTCTCATACTTAAATTGGTGTGCGAAGAGAAAACAACACCACAATCATTAGTACTTGCTATTCAAAGCCAACAAGTCAACCCCAACCCAGTCTCACTGCAGTAAACGACTAAAGTTAAGAGAAGAACAATTGAATATAAAACTGGTTTAAAAAGGCCACAAAAGATACTTATCTGTACATGGGAGAAACTACCCACTCCCTACTGCCTGCCCACTTGTCTCAGCCACATGGCAGTCAATAATCTAGAATATAGTCAGGTTTTTCTCCATACTGAATCCTTTTTCCAAATCTATCTGAACCAATACAAACCCCAACATCTTGTGGCAGCGCAGAAAATCATTTTGTCAAAACAAATCAGAAACAGATCTCATGAGGGCTTCTGTAGTGGAGAGATTTGGGGATCAACGGCGTGATAACATACTAACCTCTCCACAGCCATGAAACCCTCCCGATGACCCTGGGCCAGTCCTACCTCACAAGGCTGTTGTGAGGACAAAGTGGGGGACAGAAAGCTGTATACGCTGCCTTGAAGTCACTGGGCAGATGATTACTTAATTGTATTTATTTAAATTATTTTTCACCCACCTTTCCCCTTGAAAAGAACCCAAGGTGGCTTACAAACACTTAAAAACAGTATTTAAGTTAGTAATTGCAAGTATTCTGTTTAGATTAGAGATAAATGCAACTAGTAAGAACAAGAAACATAAAGTTCATGAAAATTTCAATTTTTTTTTCAGGGGGGAAAAAAGAAGAAGAAGAAAGCGTTTTTTCCTCACCAGAAAAAAATGGAAATTTTACTTAAGACTCTTCCATACAAATGCGAACTTTTTTTTTTCAGAATAAATGTTTTTCCCCCTTGTTGTTTTTCCTGGGGTGTGGCGGGGGGGAGGAAATGTTCGGAAACTTTCTACCTCTAGTAAGAACATTAAATAAATAATTCAGCGTAAAGACTGGCTTCTCATAACGGCGAACCGCACGGCTCCGGGAGCAAAAGGCCCCGAGGGAAGGCATGAGAGCGAGGCTTCGGCTGATCCCCAGATAAACTGCCTTTGGACTAGGAGGCTCTACTCCCGTCGCCAGGGAGCCTTGACCAACCACACTCCCCACCCCACCCCCCGGAGTCTGAAGCAAGAAGGGCTGCGGGGAACCCAGAAAACGCGCAAGACGCGGGCTTTCAGGAGGGGGTGTTAACTCGGAAGTCCCGTGTCCTCGCTTTCAGACGTTGTTTGCACCCGGCAAGACACGGGACACAAAAGGGCGGGGGCCAAAGGAGCGGGGCTGGCTCCAGGCACGCGGTACCTTCTTTTTCTCCAGGCCCCCCATCGCTGAGGCGAAGAAAGCTGCTGCTGCTACTTCCCCCTCCTTGCCGTCGCCGCTGCCCACGTGGTAAATGCGACCGGGCAGGCACCGGAAGCTCCGCGCGCCTCGTCAGGACCCCCGCGACTTCCTGTCGGGCTGTCCGGGGTGCCTGAAGGACCCTCGGACGCCGTGGGCCGTTAGATTAAAGGACAAAGAGACGCGCACCCACTCGGTGGGGACTAGAAACACAGCGCCGTTTCGTTCTCTTCCTTCGGCCGGGAATCCGCCCGCGCCCCCCCCGTTTTGAACAGGCATCCTATTAGCCGACTCTAAGAAGGACGCCCAAAAGAAAGGCCCTCGGACGCCGAGGAGGAGGAGGAGGAGGGCGGTGCAGGCTGGGGAGGGGGTGGATTGGCTGGGCTATGATAGAGAGGACGAGCTAGAAGGGCCGTTCGCGGCCAAAGAGAAGGAAGGTGTCGTGCCTCTCTAGGTGATGGGAGGGAAAAGTGGGAACGATTCCGAGTTACGTCACTTCCGGCCCTTGCGCCGCTCTCAGAACACAGCAGAGAGGGAAGGAAGGAGGGCGTTTCTCTGTTAGGCGAGGAAATAGGGAGGGGGTTGCGGGGCCTTTTAAAACAAAAAGCCTTGGCAAATATAATTTTATTTTTAACTGGCAAAATCCGAAGAGGCAAAACCATGGAGCAGCTTTTTTTTGCCAATATTTTAATTAAAATTAAAGTAAATGAATTTAACTAAAATATGCCACACGTTTTTGAAGCATCTTAAAAGGCTAATTGTGGGATTCTAATTAAATTTAGATGGAATAAAGCTA